TCTTAATGCTTCAGTATGCCTCAAACGATTAATTCTTGGTTGTTAATAGAAATTCCTTGACGAAATCGGCTGCTTCATGCAGACTGAGCAATTCTGATTATAGTATCAGATTTGTTCTGTATACTGAGGAACTGGGAGGGCTTATTAGAAACTTCTCACCAATAAAGTAATGATATTCTAGTAAATTTCGCATATAATTTTATTAATATTTTATTTTATTTAAACACATTATTTTTGTTACAGTCAATAAGCATTAGCATACGAAACAAAAGATTTAATATAACTTGCTCGGTTTTGCGTAAAATAATCAATATTTATTTTACTTGTAATTACCTATAAGTTTTTTTTCTAGTTTTTTTTTTCTTTTGTGATGTGAATATTTTCCCAGTTTGGTGCGTATGTTGGATTATTCTGCAGTATCGTGTTGTGGGTCACTGTTACCTTTTTGTCATCAAAGCTTGTATGTTATCATTGTATTTTTGTTCAGTTAAGTAGTTAATAGAAAACCGTAGGTTTTGGGGGGGAGTATGTTTGTACAACGTCATACATATGTACATTTACCTTACACACTGTATCGATACTACAGACTACAAAACCTCATACAAAACAATAAACAGTATCTCACATGCCTCCGCCATGGCAGGACGGCCGAACAATCGGTGTGCTTTATTTCTTTTCGTATCAACACAACGTAGGAATCCCACCCGTGCGCGATCACCCTCATTTTATCGGTCAAACTTTCAGAGCGAATCAAAACAAACATTGCGTAGTACTAGAATTTTGACTAGAATAGGGTACGTTAATCGTTTTCTTGGGACCAATAGGCTACTAAAGTGGTGAGCCAATTTAAAATCGTTAGTTTCGTATTGATTGTTGATGCTACCTTCTCCACGTTTAATAAACCAGGTGAAAACATATTTAAGTAGTTTCAAGGTGTTTGTAAAATTTTCGAGCTTTATTGCTTGCACTGGACACTGAAGCGTCAAGGAAGAGCTGATGGATATCATCCAAGCGTCACACAAGTTTCCAAATTTCCAAGTTTCAGCTGAATCATCTAACTGCATTTATGAAGATGAATCCCTCGAAGACGAATGTCTTATAATGAATGTTATTTGCATTCCATGTGCTTAGAGAAGCACGGATAAATACCTAAATATGCTGATTTTCTGCAAGCTGGCTCAAATGAATAGTGAATTCCATCACTTTAGCGACGAGAAGAAAAAATCCAGAAAAAACTGATAAAGCTAAGGAACTTAACATCTCCAGACTCTCAGACATGATGAGGAATGAACCCTCGTCGTCAATTAAAATGGAGCGTAAAAAGAAAACCGTAAGTATTGTATCGTCTTAGTTCTTAATTGAATACAAATCATTGTGATTCAATTGCAGCGCACAGTAACGAAGAATTCCAAAATCCGTTCGAAGCTGGTTCATCATCGTAGGAATGAAAGTACCGGGATATAATTCGATAATCTTAATTTTAAAAATGCACGACAAACACACTTTTTTCCGTAGAAGTAAAGATTTTTTGTATCAATAATTACCACATAATTCTCGATGAACATTTTAAATGGTCCTATCTGCTTTGATCGATTCTCTTCATCGACGGTCTACAACCATTGCTCTGAAAACAGATTTTGTGCTAATTTTACCACATAATTTACCAAAGAAGGTTGTGTGCAGTAGGCTCTGCCCGCAAAAGGTCGGTTTTAATTTCGCTGTCACAAATTCATATTTACCGCGTGCTTTTTGGCTTGTACCAAGGCAAAAAGTAATTCGTTTTCATTATTATCATGTGTATATAGATTCATCATGATTAATTTATCCGCGTTTTAATATTGTAAATTATTGTGAAAATTCCCGGGCAAGAATTTTGTTTGAATAGTTGTGTTGCTGTAGCGTCGTGCTAGCGTGTTTCGGTGCTACGCCTAAAGGGCGAACACGAAATTATTGCGACACATTCAACAGGGCATAACTTTTTTACCATTGGGTAAAAATCAACCAAATTTTGCACACTTTCTCATTGATGTGTATTGTGTACATGCTGTCAAACTCGAAGTCGTGTTTTTCGATTCAACGAAAATGGAGGTGAACCAACGCGAGTTGAGAGAACAAATTCTTTCCAAACACCTGGAATTTCCTGACCTGTCGCACCGGCAGTTGGGAAAAATGTTGAACATTCACCATTCAACCGTCTCCAGAGTGTTGAAGCGGTTCCAGGAGCGGTTGACGTTGGACCACGGCAAAGGAGCTGGAAGAAAACCGGGACCGGAGAACAAAAAGACGGAGGGAAAGGTGAAGCGGATGATTAAAGCAAATCCCAACGTCTCAAGCCATGATTTGGCTAAAAAGATCGGCATGTCGCAGAGCTACGTCCAGAATGCAAAGAAGAGAGCTGGACTACATACATACAAGGTACAGAACTTCCCAAACCGCGATGAGCGGCAACAATCGACGGCTAAAACTCGGGCACGGAAGCTCTACGAGAAGATGCTGACAAAATATGGCTGCTGTGTGATGGACGACGAAACGTATATAAAAGCCGATTTTAAGCAAATTCCGGGGTTGGAGTTTTTCACCGGCAAGAGCAAGTTCGATGTGGACGACAAATTTAAGAAGAAGAAAATGTCGAAGTTCGCCTCCAAATATCTCATTTGGCAGGCCATCTGCTCTTGCGGACTGAGGAGTGAGCCTTTCGTGACAAAGGGCACAGTAAATGGCGAGATCTACAAATCTGAGTGCCTCGAGAAGCGCCTTTTGCCGTTCTTGCAGCAACACGACGAAGCTCCGCTATTTTGGCCAGATTTGGCATCATGCCACTATTCTAAAAGTGTCCTGGAGTGGTATGAGGCCAATTCTGTCCATTTTGTTCCAAAGGACATGAATCCGCCAAACTGTCCGGAGCTACGCCCGGTGGAGCAGTACTGGGCAATAATGAAGCGGGAACTTCGGAAGAGCAAGAAGACAGTCAAAGACGAGAAGGACATGTTAGGAAAATGGAAAAAAAAAACTGAGAAACTGGTACCGGATGACACTGTAAAGACTTTGATGGAGGGCATCAAGCGAAAATGCGTTCAATTTTACACTCAAGGCTCCATCGATTAACTTTTCTTTTGATTTTTGAAGTAAATATATATATAAAACTACTCTAAAATTTTGGTTTGATTCTAAACATTATAAGAAAATTGGCATGACATTTTCGGTGTCGCAATAATTTCGTGTTCGCCCTTTACACTACCGGAAGCAACGTTTGCCGTGTCTTTTTACGCCTATTTGGTATTGGCGTATAATAACAATGGACAATAACCGGGAAAGATGATTTTGCAGGTTAGTCTACGATGCTTCCGTGTCGAGGACGCAATACATAAGCGGTGAGATCTAGCTTATTACAACTAGATATAAAAATATGAAATGCATCCTACTAAATACGTGCTATCTACAAAGCAGGAATTGCTTTGATGATGGAAGTGTGGCAGTACCAATATACATTTTATATCGGTACTACGTGTATGCGGGGCTTGTTGAAAGTGAAAGTAATCTCGGAATGGACGTGAGTGACTAGGCATTCTGAAATGGGTTACTGAATCTCAACAGAGCTATGACCTTTCAAATTCCGGGCTAATTTTTTTGCAATGGGATCAGTATAAGATAATAATAGATTATATTGCAAAAATTTTTCTTCCATAAAAACACTGCCGGACAATGAAAGTTGGATTGTATATACATACATGCATAATTTGACAAAGAAGGTTCTTACTAACGTCCAAAACATCAAATACCACAGGGAAAAATTTTGCAGCTGAGTTATTAACGAAAGAGAAAGTTAATGAAGAGAATCGATTAAATTTATTCGGTTTCTACCGCAACCGCGATGGATTTGCAATATTTACTAACGCAATCAAAAGCTCCAACCTTGAACTGTTGATTGCATGTATCAGTATTGCAAATCCATCGCTCAGATAGCGGTAGAAAGCGAATTAAGTTAATCGATTATTTGATCGACAAATGAAGATATGACCTTTTTCTAAAATCAATCGAGTTTAACTTCCAGCTGATCAAGTTGTCATCTCGGTTTTCATTGTCAAAGAAAATGTGCTGGTAATTAATATGCATGCGCACAGTACGAACACAAAATGCACAAGGCAGGAACAAAAAGCTTCACCCGTTTATCAATAGATTGCGATCATGACAATGTTGAAATTATTTTGTTCGGGAAATTATTAAGTGAGCTCCTTATTATAATTATTTCTCTAAGCTTAAATCCATATGCCCCTCAGTAGCGCCTAACATATGAGACGTCTCCCATCCTATTGATTAACTATCCCCACTAATTAAATGGCTCGGGCACGCCGATCTCCATCACTCAATCAAGAAACATTGTTTAAAAACTACAAACTATCTACAAAATTCATGTACATTTAGGTGACATAACACTAAATCATAAATGGCGCGAAAATCTGCTACACGTGAGTTCGACGAAAACACGAAATTTGTCACGCTACAACTATATATCCAGCCACCCACCACCCACTTGCAACACGCAACAAACTGTGTTGCATTGCATTGCGCATGAACCTCCTTGTGTTATTGTTGTCATCATCCCCATCGAGTTCATTTCCGTAGTCCAACGATGAAAACATTCCGTAGGTACCAAGCAACCACATGGCTCGTGGTCGTCGTCGTCGTCGTCGTCGTCGTCGTCGTCGTCGTCGTCGTCGTTGTCTCCGTCGTCGTGGTTCATTCGTTCCTGCATGCTACGATGCGACGGCACCGAGCGAGACCCTGTTATCGCTACGACCAGCTGTTTACAAATCTGTGAATGGCGAGCGCGGACGCGTCAAGCCAACCTTCTTCCTTTTGAGGGGCTCGCCGTCGCCGTCATCGTCGCCGCCGCCGCCGTGCCACCCACCAAGTGAGATTCTGTGGTTGTGGACTCGATCTCCGTCAGAGCAGCATAGTCGGTTTTCAAGTTCAGTATCCGTTTGAACTTCGTCGCGTACAGTCGAGTTTTCCACTAGCAGAAACCGCTGTTTCCCGAGTTGCCCCCCAAAGGTGTGAGGATTTTCTTTTGATCTGTGCTGTGTTTATTGGCTCGCTTGAGGCCGGTGGCTCTCGCCGAGGTCAATGCTGGAGGCGCTACATGACACTCTTGATAGGCCTAAGCCTTTCTTTCCCTCCTGTGATGTTTGTTTGGATGATGAAAAATTGAGGATTCTTCAAAAGAAGAAGCCGAATAAAGGATAACCAGAAGAACCGAAGGTTGTTTGGAGGCTATTTTGCGAAGAAAGGACTTCAAACCCGCCGTCCGTGTGTTGTGAGTGATGTAATGATCCTCGGTCAGTCGTCCGCTTGTTCCATGTGTTGTTAACGAAAACCCATGTAATCGAAAGTGAAACCTGTCAGGCAAATTAAATAACGCCGTTGTGAAGCAATTTAGGGTAAATGGCGATGAAATCTTTTGAACTGCGAAGTTAGCTCAGCTCCGGAACTGATGCGGGCCCAAATCCGACCAAGCCATCTGTAAAGTGGGAAAAGTTTTCAAAAGAATCACGTGAGAGTGCTTTTCGTGAACCGAAATCGGATTTGCAAAGTGCTGTGCCCCACAAAGAAAAGGATTTAATCGGAAGAGTTTGTCTGTTTGAAAACGGGAGGGGAAAAACTTTCCCTAGAAAAAGTGATTAGTGGAAGATTAAATCAATTCGCCGGATGGTGACGCATAATAGATGCGAAATTTATTACCTCCATCTATCACAGATCGGGAGTGGAAAACGGTTTGAATATATATATATATTTTCGTCGACGACGGTGGTAGTCAAGGGCAATCAATCATCCCAGAACCCGAGTTGGAGGAACGTGATTCTTGACAGGTCAGCCAGCCAGCCACCACCGGTTGCCTGGTTGTCAGCTTCAAGTGGATCTCTGAATTGAGTGGCTTCTAATTGAATTAAGTTCGGGTGCCGTCCCAAGTGCTAGTGATAGTTGTGAAATTTCGTAGAGAGGAAGTTTAAATTCAGCGTGAAAGTGTGAATCAATCAACAGCAGCGCTTACAACGTGCATCTGGGAGAGTGCATTCTGTAATTTAAGCAGCGTAGTCTGCGCTCTCTGTGGCAGATCTTATCCCAGCTGAAAGTACACCAGATGGAACCGATATATTTGCCGTCAAGGAGGGACGTTTAGCCAAGAAGAAAACTCGGTTTGTAACCGATTGAGCAGCGTTGCACACTTGCTGGTAAGTGAATCCGGGTTTCGGATACTGTTTTTTCCCTTATGTCGGTCGGTGAAGATTATTGAAGATTTTAGCGAGGGTGTGAAATTTGCGACTTTGAAATTATGTGTGACCTCATAAATCATTGCTATTTAGTGGGATAGTTTCATTATGGGAAACAGCGGTCGGTGGGTGTTTATTGTGATGAGCTTGACATACTTATTTACGGTTGTTTTGGTGAATCATGCCATGCCACGAGGAGCATCTATGTAGATGAAGGCAGATAGTGAGGTAGGAATGATTATTTATTACTCCACAATAATTAGTATTGCGTTGTACAATCTACGTTTTAACAATAAATGCGATTAGTTCTCTTAAAACTTAGTAAAAGTTAGTCCCCTTAGTTAAATATGCAAAACTCGATAAATGATGAATAACTTATGTTCCTTAAAACTAATTGTTCTCAAATTCGCAGATTCTCGATTTTCATATATTTTACAGTGATGAGATATTTTCGGAATGCAAAACAAGAGTTGTTGTTTCAAACGGTAATTATAAATTTTTTATTTGTCAATTAATGGTTGAGCTATGATTTATCAAACATTGCAAGTTTGCCGTTACACATTTTACCGGATGCATCGTGTATCATCAATAATAAATATTCAACATTGGGTTCGATTAGGAAATTCGACTGAGCTCGGTGGCTTGAGAGAAAAAATGCAACCTAAGAAATGCAATATCTTATCGTATCAAAACAACTTCATGAAACACTGAAAATCACATAATGGTTCACTTGTAATATCCCTAGTGGCACATTTGTCGCAAATTGGATGTAGAAACTTATATATGGCTAATTTTACTCACAAACAATGCCCAAGACGGCATCATGACAGACGACCGGTTTTTATTGTTCATTTAATCCAGATTTGCTTTAAAATTACCAGTGAGCTAAGATTGCTTTAATTTCTATACAAAAGTTTCATTTGGATAGTTCTCCATAAAATCAATGCCTTATTAATGCACTAAAATTTATATTTCATCAATCAACGTTGATTAAAAAAACTTGATGAAAATTGGCTTATATTAACATGTGCGGATAAGACCGTCACTCTTTGAGGGTGTTACCGGTAGGACATAATATAACTTGTTTGTCAGTCAAAAAGTAGTTCAATTGTAAAATTTGTATTGTTGTTACGTGTTTATTGTTTATTTATTTACATATTGAATATTATATGCAACTATATTAAAGAATTCGTAAATAAAAGCCTAGCTACGATTAAATTAATTGCATACACACTCAAGAAACAAATTCAAATTGATAACGTAAGAACACAATTTATTACACCACACTACACAAAAACCGATACCCTTGGGAAAAGCTGCTGCAGAACTAAATGCATTACCACAGAGGAGACAAAAGACTACAAAAAAAATGTTATATCAGGAAGGGAGAGGCTACTGGTGGTGCTATTAGTGATGGAATGTTAATTTCCACGTAGCACCTCAATTGAGAAACATCTCGAAACTACATCAAAGTTCATAAGACAAGTTGTGCACAGTGTAGTGGAAAAGTGACTATAATCTCAATTTATATTACTAAATTGACGAAAGTCGAACCAGGTAGGCCTAATCACCCATAAAACGATTATAGACCCCGGAACCAAATCTAGTAGTGCTTTATGGTAATACCTGCCCTCTTTGTTGTTTCCATCACCCAACCAGGACCCATTGTATTCTGGTTGAAGCAGCAGCTGACCCGGAATAAAAGTCCCGAGCGAAGTCCGTAGCCAAACTAGACCTGTGCGCCGATTAAAATATTTTCGGCGGTGTACAATCGCATGGACAAAAAATGTTACCCACATTTGAGATCAGATCTGGGGTTGAAACTTTTGACATTTTTTACTACACTTGCTTCGTTGTCGTGCGTCACAGACTATTTGTATTCTTAAGGCTGGCGCACAATGGATAATTTTTCAGGTTTTTTGACAGTTAGCCCATGCATTATCTGTCAAAAACCCTGAAGTTAATGCATTGTGCACAAGTCCTTACTCTCATGCTCTACCGTCGTCTCTCTTACTCAACACAAACAGTAGAACAACTTTCGAGCAAAAAGAAAATTATCAAATAACTTTCATATGACATGTATGATTTCGTTCTAATTCCTCAATTTGGTGTCAATTAAACCATTTCTGATCAGAAATGTTATTACTAGGACATCATTGCTTGCTATTTTCAGAATACACACAAGCACAACATCAGCAGCTCTTATTATGAGCAAAACTAAAATACAAAAATTCGTGACGGTCTTCGGCGACAGTGCCGTATGACAGAGCCTGTCATATGACATTTAAGTTTAGTACTGTAATTTGATAGCTTGTTTTGCAAGTGTTGGAAGCAAAGGCAGTTGATTATCACAGAAAATGTGTCGACTATGGTGACCGCTTACATGACTGGTTCAGATTACTCATAATCGCTAAAACGTAGGTCACTCTGGGAAAACTTCTTGAATATGGCGAAAATAAAAAAAAAATAAAATACTCAGGCTACAAATGTACTAGTAGACAGACTAAAACCACAATCAGTTTTCGTCATATTCGAGAAATTTTCCATAGAGAATTTACTCATTCTATGAGTAACCTACGTTTTCATGAATTTGAGTAACCTGAACTCAAATATGAGTAACTTTTACTCAATTTTGAGTCGTTCTCATTAGCCGTGCATGCAGAATATGTTTAGAAAAGTATGTCAAGTGCTTGTTAAGATTGCAGGGGGTGGAGTCATATGGCAAAGTGTTACAACCCATTTATTGAGTATAAGGAAAGTACTTTATGTAGGTGTGGAGAGTAAGTGTGGAGTAATCGAGGGCAAGAGGAGTAAGACCGTAACTCTCTGATGACAGTGTTGAGGAGGCAGCATATGCATGTACGTAATTGGTGGATTTGTTAGTTATTTCGACGCTATTGGACAATGCTTGCATTTACCATTTTTTTCAATAGCTGATTGTTGAAAATCAACATTCGAAGGCAATGCTATCGATGCATACAAATATTTCTGTTTGATTGGTAATGAAATTATTGAAATTCGTCTAGAGCTACCAGAGTTATTAACGTTCAAAATCTTGCATAATTTCGTTACATGTTCCATTTTTGGTTTTCACAAAGTGTACACCCATATAGAATCACAGACGTAATCTTGCGTCAAAAAATCTCTTAATTAATTGGTTTCAGGTTCATATTCTCTATTCCTCCAAGAAACAAGAAAAGCATCAGATGATGCAAAATGAGAGTTTACCAAAAACCGAAACCAAAAATTACGGGGAAAAAAACAAGCAAAATGTGATTCGAGGAAAATATATTAAAATTAGATGAAATTTATGATGCAGCTAGGAATACTCAGAAAATTCAATCAGAAACCTAAACGAACAGCAAGGCCGGATTCTTGAATCGTAAGCTAAAATCCCAAACAAATAGACGTAATTTTTCCTTCAAAACATCGTCCCGGATCTCACTAAGGGCACCCCACGAGCCATCGGTGGAAAATAGGCTTGCTAACTGTGGGATTTTTGAACATGAAAAATAACTCTCAAAATGTAATTTTAACCACGGGTCAAATTTAACTCGGCAAATGATTCACAGCTAAAGTTTTTCGCCCAAAATGACACGCCTTCGTTTCAACAACCAACACGGAATCCTACAATAAACTCAACGTCTAATGCGTGTGCGATGATCTAAAATTAAGTATAGCATCTGTTTGTCTGTGCTGTAATTGTGCTCGAAAACTGATCAGAACGTGTGCTTTGAAAAAGCGCGAATCTAATAGTCATCAAAATCCAAAAATAAGCACCTCTATTGTTTGATAGCCAAGAGGATTTCTAAAATGTAAACAAGTTCGCGGAACTGTCAGAAAAGTAATGTTAAATTTTCACGTGCAATGTTTGTCATGTGTACGTGTTTTGGAATGTACCAATAGCGTACCATAGCGTACCTTCAGGGATTTTGAACGTACCTCAAAGCTTCCCGGAGAATCCGTGTCCCGCTGGATAGACATACGATTTCAGCAATGACCAAGTCGATCGACCAGATTTCTACGGAAATGTGACGTACCAAATGCGTGCTTTACGAATCTGTAATACATTTTTAACGTACCTCTTATTTTCACTTAAATGCTTATACTTAACTTTTTAAATCGGTTTATATATGAGTTCTTGGCACGTAATTGGATTCCATGAAAATTCAAGCCCGATTTGATATAAAAAAACATTATACTTAAGTGCATTATAACCAATTTGAGGACCAAAAACTGTTTTTTTTTTTTATTTGCATCCTTTAAAATATACTAATTTCGAACAAAACCGTTAATTTCATGAATAATTATGGAGACGCACGGTGCTGCTTGGAAAAATCTATCATGAGAAATGCCTTGATAACTTTCTGATCGATCATGACCAACGTACCTAACTGGAATTCTCTTTATGATAAAATTTACCAGTGATTTAAATAAAAAAAAATATTATTTTAAAAACTCCATTTTTTTTCAAAGATACATTAGAAAAAACCTGATAAAATGATCAGGTATGTTTCAGAAATTATTCCTGAACATCTCTGTAACGCTTTTTGATCGGTCATGACCAACGCACCTAACTGGAATTCACTTTCTGATAGAATTTACCAGTGATTTAAATAAAAAAATTAAATTATTTAAAAATTCCATTTTTTCGATAAAATATTAGAGAAAACCCGATCAAATGATCAGATATCTCTGTCGGTGCGTGGAGCGTGCGGAAGTGGATTATTCAATGTTGTCATTATTGAATGCTCTTGTACTCTCTCTCACTCTTACTCTTTTAGCAGCGTTGACACTTGTGCTGATTTACCATAAGGCATACCCACTTTAGGTACGTTGGTCATTACCGATCTGGAAGTGTTCCATGGATATTCAAAAATAATTTCTGAAACATATCTGATCATTTGATCAGGTTTTTTTTTCTAATGTACCATCGAAAAAAATGGAATTTTTTAAATAAT